CGACCAAGCTTTCACGCTACAGCGCAACAACTCAAAGGCTCCAAAAGTTAAGTTGACCATCGGTGACCGTGGCATTGACTTTATTGTAGACACAGGAGCTTCGGTAAACGTCATCAGTCATGACACGTACAGCAAGATCCCAGGCAAACCGACCCTGTGTGGCCCAGTACCAAAAGTGTTTGCATACGGATCAAGAACAGAACTTCCTTTATTGGGCAAGTTTTCTGCTGAACTCTGCTACAAGGACACCAAGTTGCGGGATACCATATTGGTGACAAGGATGCCAAGTGAGTCATTGTCGTGCTTCAAGTCAGCCGAAGCTCTGGGACTTGTCTCAATTGTGTACAAGGTTTCTCCCTCGCAGAGCATTTAATTAAGAGACGTACCCCGAGCTATTCAGAGGACTAGGAAAGCTCAAAGGAATTGAAATGAAACTGCACATTGATCAATCAATTCCACCAGTGGCACAGAAGCTACGACCCATCCCGTTCAACATACGTGAGCTGGTCACAAGAGATACGGCGACTGGAAGAGCTTGATGTGATCGAGAAAGCCTCGGGCCCCACTACATGGGTCTCTCCCATCGTTGTTGTGCCAAAGCCACATGCACCGGACACTGTTCGGATGTGCGTAGACATGCACCGAGCAAACCAAGCCATTACAGAGAGCGGCATGCATCCCCAACGCTGGATGATCCAGTCACAAGTCTCAACCCAGCTGAAAATTCCCATTAAATCCAATTGGAATTCCAACTGGTTTTAACTGGAACCAATTGGTTTTAGTGGGTTCCAGCTGGAACCGCTCTGGCCAATGGGTCTCACCAATTGGAATTATTTTTCCAGTTGGAACCTGAATGGGTTCCCAATGATTCCCATTGGTTCCCGTTGGTTCCCATTGGCAGTGACCAATTGGTTGTCCAAAAAACCAATTGGTACCAATAAGTCACCAATTGGTACCAATAAGAAAATTCCAATTGGAACTTAATGGGAATTTTCAGCTGGGAATGGCGTGTGCATCGAGTTTGTCTTGTAACGAAACTGGTTTATTCAGGTTGCCAGACTGCTCTTTACAGCTGGCTGAAACAGGACATTAAAGGAGGGCCAGCAGAAATATTCTTCCGCCTGGCGGAAAGTCCTCCTCGCCCTCTTTCTTCTTGTATTGTAGCACGGCGAGGCGAGGGGAAAGGTCTTCTTTTGCGCCGGCTTCTTCTGAGAGGATAAGCCGAGAAAATCCCCATTCTGAGCGACGGGCGATCGGTGCGGCAGCAGCGACCTCGTGACTTAGAGGTAGCTTCAGCTCCTATCGCGTAATCTGCCCCATTTTTTGGCGCTCACCAAGCCTAGCCCCTCGGGTGTAGGTTTTACGGAGCTGCAGGGCTGCGCCCGCGCAGTCACCGAATTTCCGCTGTCGAAGGTCTTTAGTTTAGCCCGTGGCAAAGTAAACGCATACTTGAGAGCTGCGATGCATCCCCGCACCCATTGAAGGAACGTTTCATAGATATTTTCGGTTGATCAAGGAGCTCAAAACACATGCGCGAGAAGTGGTGACTTGAATATGTAAGGATGACTCACATCTTCACAAAACGTTCCATCTTGAAAAAAACGGCTTATCACGCTCAAACCTGCCTCAAATTGGGATCGATGGAGAAGAGAACGATGTACCAGGCGCGGGCATCTTCTAGAAGGTCTCTGTTTTCTAGCAGCGAGCACAAACATTGTGTGCGTAACTTACACTATATGATGGCCAACGAATGTATGTGACATTTATATTTACGCATCCCAGCAACCACATGAGGTGAGAAGGCAGCTATGGTGTGTGTCGATACTAAAAAGTTCTAGTGGATCGTCTTTAGCTCTTGGATAACCGCACCCTACAACAATTTATAAGCTATAACCTTTCTGTGAGCATTCTTGATCGAGTGCGGCTATCGAAGCGTCTGATGTTATAGTTCAACGTTGCTTAAATCGGCGCTATAGCACGTGCTGCCACTTTAAAGTTTCTGAGGCATTAAAAATAAAAAATAAAAAATCAACTGTAGCCTTTTTTTAACATAATACGCGTTTGTAATTTGTCTGTGCAAACACATTTTAGTTAGCACGGACAAAATATTGCCGGTCTTTCTGATTTTGTTTTTTAGAAATAAATGATATTTAGAAAACTGTCAATGCAACTATCCAACCTAAGTGGCAGAGCTCAGTGCTAGACAATACATGTTGTATTGTCTATAGTAATTAAATTAAATAGTAATAAAAAGCGCCGATGTCCATTCGGGCTACAAGTGCCACATAATGCACGCGTACCGCTACAAGTGCGTCCGGACATTTCACCGAACGCCGTTTCATCGAATGCCGTTTCATCGAATGCCGTTTCATCGAAGCCGTTTCATCGAACGCCGTTTCATCGAACAATGTTACAGTCTGTAATACTTTGGAATTTACTTTAATTTTTATACACAACTTCATCTCATTCTCTCTTTTTTTTTTCTTTTGTTTCTGCTTTTATATCACTGGGTGCAGTGGCGAGATAAGTTCCATCGTGAACATATCCTGCTTCGAGAAGAAAGCCTCCCTGAAACAATGACCCCTCTCCATGTCACATGAAACAATTAAAAATGAGGCAAAAACAGAAAGCACAGACGCTTAAAAGTGTTTTAAGTGTCTGTCCTTTATTTGCAGCGTCGTGGTTTCAGCCATGTATGTACAGGAGTAAGGCTTTTCAGTAAGTCGCATACCCAATTGTTTTTATTTCTTTTTATGCCAATTTTTATTTTTAGTAATTTGACACCACCTTCAAAACAATTTCTCAAGTGACTACCTTTGTCTTAACAAATGCAAGGTGAAACATCTATAAAGCACTGTTATGCCCCAAAACTCGGTACAGAGCCATGGGCATAACTGAGAAATTTGATGAAACGGCCCTTGGCGATTCGATAAAACGGCGTTCGATGAAACGGCGTTCGATGAAGTGTCCGTTCATTCGGTGAAACGGCTTTCGATGAAATGGCGAAAAAGTGAGGTTCAGGCTTGGTCGGAGATTGCTACGGTTACACACGTACGCTTTTTCAGTTCTATCTCGCATAAATAAGCTTCTTGCTCAAATAAACAGGGGCATCTGACTTTTCGCTCATCTTGGCCTTTTGCACGACTGTTAACAAGTTCTAAAACAGACAAAGCAAAAGTGATTTAATTAGCTCAGGATTATAGGTTGAGCGAAATATTTACAAAGTTCAAGGTTCCCTGAGTCGTCTTTTGTATTCAATTCCCCCTCCCCTCACCACCACTTCCTTCCTCTAAATAAACAACGTAGATTATTTTATGGACCACCAGTAATAGAGCGTACTCACAAAACGTCTATTTGGCGTAAGAAAGCGTAAGAAAGGCCTTGTTTAAATGTTCGAGCAATGAACTTGTTTTCTTACTGTGCGTGACACAGCTAGCACGAAACACAATATTGACATTTTTACGCAAGGGCCATGCAGAATTTAGCGTATAAGAACAAATTGATGCCTCGTAAGTTGGTGCCCAACGGAAGCACTCTTTACCGAATTGCTTGTTTAAAAATAACTTTTCAAACATAAAAATAAAACAAAATAACACCACTTTTTTGGGGGCCACTAAATTTACTGATTTACTATGTTAGCGTTGATTGTGCAGCGGTATGCGTACATTACGCGACACTGTTAGCGCAAACACGACATCGCGCTTTTTGCTATTTTCCCCAGCAATGTATCGACTCGCACTAAAATCTACCGCTTAGGTTGGATACTTGCATTAACAGTTTCCTAAACATCGTTCTCTTCTAACAAAAGAAAAGTGGGAAACACCGGTGATAGTTTGTGCTAACTGCGTAGTGTAGGGTACCCAAAAGTTTTTTTACAATGTTAAATGCAATTCTGTGTCACGTTAAAAAAAATTGTCTGCTTTTGGCTTAGTTTCTTTGAGACACCGCAAATACTTCGAAGTGGCGGTCCGTGCTATGGTACCGATACAAGCAACGTTGAACCATAACACGACACGCTAGACTCGTCAAAAAGGGTTTTAATATTGTCTTTTCGCTCCATAGCCGCACTCGATGAAGAATGTAAACAGCGAGTCTAGCTTACATTTCGTTGTGGGGTACGGACCGTATACGGTTATCTAAGTGGCTAAAAGCGACCCACTAAAACTTTCTAAAATTGACATCCACCCTTGATGCCCTCTCACCTCAGGTGCTTGTTGGGAATGTGTAAATATGAATTTCATACATTTTGCTGGCCATCATGTTCTGCGAGTTAGGCACACAACAGGGCATTTTAGTAAATCGTTTTCAAAGGCCCGCTGCCACTTCAGGCGCGCGCTTCAGAGAATGCATCGAAGTGGCAGCGCGAGCTCCCGCTAAATATAGCGTGGCCTGAAAACATAGTCTGCTAAAGTTCTTCAATAATTTGTGCTCGCTCCTAGAAAACAGAGACCTTCTAGAAGATGCCCGCGCCTGGTACATCGTTTTCTTTTCCATCGATCCCAATTTGAGGCAGGTTTTTGAGCGTGATAAACCGTTTTTTCTTGAAGATGGAATGTTTTGTGAAGATGTGAGTCATCCTTACATATTCAAGTCACCACTTCTCGCGCATGTGTTTTGAGCTCCTTGATCAACCGAAAATATCTATGAAACGTTCCTTCAATGGGTGCGGGGATGCATCGCAGCTCTCAAGTATGCGTTTACTTTGCCACGGGCTAAACCAAAGACCTTCGAAAGCGGCAATTCTGTGACTGCGCGGGCGCAGCCTTGCAGCTCCGTAAAACCGACACCCGAGGAGCTAGGCTTGGTGAGCGCCAAAAAATGGGGCAGATTACGCGATAGGAGCTGAAGCTACCTCTAACTCACGAGGTCGCTGCTGCCGCACCCATCGCCCGTCGCTCAGAATGGGGATTTTCTCGGCTTATCCTCTCAGAAGAAGCCGGCGCAAAAGAAGACCTTTCCCCTCGCCTCGCCGTGCTACAATACAAGAAGAAAGAGGGCGAGGAGGACTTTCCGCCAGGCGGAAGAATATTTCTGCTGGTCCTCCTTTAACATCAGATCTCATACATCTTCCTTTCTAACAAAGGACAAACTTGAAACACAACTTGACTAACATGTTTGGTTGAAGTGTTCATCACAAGTAAGCTTCACTTTCTAAACAAGGAACAAACTTGGAATACTACAACTTGATTAACATGCCTGGTTGAAGTGTTCATCATAAGTAAGCTTTACTTTCTTCTTCCTTGGTCTTGATGACACTCTAGTGGGAGGTTGCACAGACACCGGCACTGGATAGTCTCCGCGTAAGGGTTCTCACCTATCTGTTCAGCCCAGCACACCACCACCTGCGCCCTTGGAAGTGCAAATAAAATTATTATTATTATTATTATCCTTTTCCTCGTTTATATAAACGACGTAGTAAAAGATAACATAAACATAAATTTTCGCCTATTTGCCGACGATCTGGTTGTATTTTCTGAAATTAAAAATGGCGCAGATCAAGCTAATCTCAATTCGAGCCTGAAAAAAATCAGTGACTGGTGCCAGACATGGCAAATGCAGTTAAACCTTGAAAAGTGTGTTTCGATGACAATAACGCGTAAAAAGTCTCCGTTGGTCTTTTCATACAGTTTAAATAACTCTGCTCTGCAACAAGTTTCTTCATTCAAATATCTTGGAGTCACTATATCTTCTGATCTCAGATGGAATGCCCACATTGACTCGCTGTGTCAGAAGGCGATGTTCAAACTGTGGTATCTGAAACGTAACTTAAGACACTCTACATCTGCAACAAAATTAATAGCCTACAAATCTCTCATCAGGCCACTTTTAGATTATGCTGATATTATTTGGGATCCACACACATTATCGAACATAAATAAACTCAAAAGAATACAAAAGAGGGCACTAAGATTCATTTACAACAAATACAAAAGATTAGATTCTGTGAGTGCCCTATACAGCATAGCCGGTATCCAGCCCCTCCAAACGCGTAGGAAAATTAACAGACTCACTTTCCTATACACACTGATAAACGATGGGTTTAGAATAGACAGGTCACGCTATGTCACTCTAAAATCTGCGAGAAGCACACGTAGCTACCATGCCTTATCACTTACAGAGTATCAATGCCATACCGACTGCTTCAAGTTTTCTTTTTTTCCTAAAACCATTACTGAATGGAATGAGCTGCCTTTTGACATCGTAAACACGACTTCCATCCAATCATTTAAAGCCTCGCTCTTTTCATTATTTAAATAACCTAGAGGCTACTTATTGCTTATTGTTTTGATTTTGTTGTGACTGCTGTCTGTTAGCCAATTTTTCAATGCACTGCTCCTGAAATAGTTTGGCAGCTATATATCTCGAACTAAGTTGTGTTGGTCGTTTGTGTATATAACATCGTTCAATGTCTTGTTCGCTTTCTAGCGTAAATGCTAAAATGTACATGGCAAAGTGTAATGATGCTCACTGTTTCGTTTCATTGTTGTGCAGTATTTCGGTTGTCGGTTTCACGGTTTCTGCTCTTTAATATGTTCGTTGCACTGGCCTTGTCCCATATTGTACGTTTCAGTCATTGTTTAGAAGCCCGTCCTACAACGCCCTCCTTGAGAAGGCAGTAGTATCTGTAAATAAATAAATAAATAAATAAATAAATAAAAATTATTATTCATCCATTATTTCACTTTCGCGGTCACGAGTTTCCTGGTGCTGCACCTTGTCCTCGTTAGTCACTTGTGGAACGTCCATGTCCTCAGAGTCGGAGATGGGTTCAAATGCTTCCTTGCTTACAAGTAAATGCTGTCTGTTCCGTGTGTACACAGCACCATTCTCAGCTTGCACCACATAGGATCTTGGCGCCACTTGCTCTTTGACTTGTGCTTTGACTCTCCACTTTCCGTCATCTCTCAGACGCACCGTCTGTCCAGTGCCCAGTGTCTCCAAATGCCTGCCAGCACTGACATTTTGTTTGTGTTTTTTCACTTTCTGTCCATGTGCTGATGAGAAGTCAGGCAGTCGAGACCTCAATCGTCGCCCCATGCATAACTCGCAAGGTGACCATCCATTCTCGAGTGGTGTGCATCTGTAGTTTAGCAACCCTAGCCAAAAATCTTCTTTGGCATACCGAGTTTTCTTTAAAATCCTTTTCACAACTTGAACCCCTTTTCCTGCGAGTCCATTCGCTCTTGGAAATCTTGGGCTCGAGGTGATATGTTCGAACTCATATTTTCTTGCAAATGCTGCAAATTCTCTGCTCGCAAATTGTGGACCATTGTCGGTGCAGACTTCTTTGGGGATTCCGTGTCTGGCAAAAACACTTGCCATATGGTCGATCGCTGCAGCAGCACTAGTATCTGTTAGCTGCACCACTTCAGGGTAATTGGAGTAGGCGTCATATACCACAAGGTATGACAATCCTGCATGCTGGCACAGATCAGCTCCAACCCTCTCCCACGCTTTACTGGGTACTTCTCTCATGATGAGTGGTTCAGCAGGTTGCTGGTATGCAAATGTTTGACAAGCTGCACACTTTGATATATATGACTCAATGTCAGCATTCATTCTTGGCCAGAATACTAAAGCTCTAGCACGAGCCTTGCATTTGCTCATGCCTAAGTGTCCTTCATGCAGTCTTGCCAGCGTGTCTGCACGACAAGCTTTCGGAACTACTACTCTTGAGCCCTTTAACAGGACACCGTTGACCAGGGTCAACTCTGATGTGTATCCCTTGAGGTCTCACTGTTGTTCTTGACCCCGGTGGATCCGTGCGATAACTCCTTGTAGTTCGTCATCACTCTCTGTGGCCTCTTGCAGTTTCTGAAGTGTCGCTTGACTCAGTGTTGTGGACAATATGCCGACAACATGTACTTCAACGTCATCCAGTTGTACCTCTTTCTTTTTGGCCTCTTTTACTGGTGCGCGAGACAATGTGTCGGCTAGCACCAAGTTCTTTCCAGGCAGATAGCACAGGTCAAACTCATACTTCATTAGCTGAATAAAAAATCGCTGCAGACGAGGTGGCATATCTCCAATGCTTTTCTTTGCTATGGAGATCAATGGTCGGTTTCGAGTGTGAACTTGCGACCATAAATGAAGTCATGGAACTTCTCACACGCAAATGTGATGGCGAGCGACTCTTTTTCAATTTGTGCATATCACACCTCACAGTCGGTCATCACTCGTGACGCATATGCTACTGGACGCCACTCTGTATCATTGAGCTGTACGAGTGCTGCTCCCAGTCCATACTGGGATGCATCAGCTGTCACTTTTGTCTCCTTTTCAGGATCAAAAAATGCTAACACTGGCTTGTTAGTCGGTGTTCTTTTCAGTCTATCCCATTCTGCTTCGTGAGCCTCAGTCCACTCAAATATCACATCATCCTTGATGAGGCTTCTGAGAAGATTTGTTCTTTGCGACAAGTGTGGCAAATACTTGCCTACATAGTTGATGACTCCCAACATCCGCTGTACTTCCTTCTTGCTTTGAGGAGTAGACATCTGAAGCACTGATGCAACTAGTGATGGATCCGGCTCCACTCCATTTTAGTGATCCGGTCACCCAGGTAGCTGACCTCTTGGACCGCAAATTGACACTTTTCCTTATTGAAGGTCATTCCAGCTCTTTGGGCTGCTTTGAGTGCAATTCCCATAGCCTCTTGTCGTGCTCCTCCTTGGATCGACCCCATACGAGTACATCGTCAACGTACACTCTTACTCCTTCAAGTCCATCAAAAACTTCAGTCATGATCTGTTGGAAGACTTCCGGTGACGATGAGATGCCAAATGGTAGTCTCAGAAATCGGTAGCGTCCAAATGGCGTACCAAACGTGCACACTCGAGAGGCCGTCTCATCTAGTGGTATTTGGTGATACCCACTATTGGCATCCAGCCTTGAGAAGAATTTGGCGTTTGCCAGTTCAGCTTCGATGTCTTCACGACATGGCATTTGGTAGTGCTGCCGTTTGATGGATTCATTCACTTGCCTTGGATCTATGCAGATTCTCAGAGCACCTCCTTTCTTCTTGACTATCACAATTGGGCTTACCCAATCAGTAGGTTCACTGACACAGGTGATGACTCCAGCCTCTTCCATTCTCTGGAGCTCTTTGTTGAGTGGTTCTATAAGAGCTTGTGGCACTCTTCTCGTCGGCTGTACCACTGGCTCTGTCTTACACTCCCGTCCAACGCATCCCAGTCCTTTAAACAACTTAGGAAACTTCTGTTCCACCCTTCTTAGGCCATAGTTTCTTTCACCGTGTGCACTCGCTGGACCAGGAGTTCACTCGCTGCTGCCCAATATGGCCTGGCGTCCTTTTTTCACGATGAAGAACTCAATGTTTGCGCTCTTTCCTTTGAGTTTCACTTCCAACAGTGCTTTCCCTTGGTGTGCAATCACACCATCGTTGTAGCTTTTTAGGACTGACATGCTTGGCTTCAGGCTCGCCGTCTTGTGTAGCTTCCGGAACAGTGAACTTGGCAAAAGATTTGCCTGGGACCCTGTGTCAACTTTTAGTTCCACTTCCTTGTTAACCATGAGGGCCTTGACCAGCCACTCGTTACCTTTTTTTAGCCTTGCATGTGCTGACTTGAAGAACGGCGAAGTCGCTGTCATCCTGTTCTTTTACTTCATCTACCGAAGACTTCGTTTTGCAACGCAAGGTGAAGTGGTTCATCCTGTGACACTTGTTGCACTTTTTGTTGTATGCCGGACACTTCCGTGGGTCGTGCTTCCAGTCGCACTTCGGACAATTTTTTCCCGTCGGTTAGACTTTCCGCTCATGCATGTCCGCTCTCTTCTTTATGTCTACTGTGTCGACACGTCGGGGACCGCTGAGAGTTTCATTTTGTGTGCCTGAAGAACCTCATATGCCTTTTCGAGCTGTATGGCCTTTTCCAATGTCAGATCTTCTTCGCGCAACAAACGCTCGCGCAGTTTTTTTGTCTGTTACCCCACATACGATTTGATCTCATACCACGGAGTCTGACAAAGCCGAGAAGTTGCACGATTTCACTTTTAGTTGTAGCTCTCGCACAAACTGTTCAAACGGCTCACCACTTTCTTGTTTTCGTGAACGAAACACGTATTGTTCGTAGGTTTCATTTTTCCAGGGCATACAGTACTCTTCAAACTTCTTCAGTACTGTCTGGTAGTCCTGTTTTTCTTCAGGTACGAAGGTAAAGGTGTTGTCGACTTTGATGGCATCGGGTCCCGCCACATGAAGCAAAATGGCTGCCCTTTGTTCATCGGTTTGCTTGGTGGTCTCCGCCGCCCGTAGGTACAGTTCCACACGTTGTTTGAACCGTTGCCAGTTCTCCGCTACGTTTCCTGTCAAGTTCAAGCCCTCGGGTGGGTTGAGCACGTCCATAATTCGGCTTTCTTCTTAGTTCACCGCCCTTTTTTGCGGGATAGCCACTTCTGACACCATGCATCGAGTTTGTCTTGTAACGAAACTGGTTTATTCAGGTTGCCAGACTGCTCTTTACAGCTGGCTGAAACTGGACATTAACATCAGATCTGATACAGCGTGTCTGTCTTCTCGAAACTAGACCTCAACGACGGATACCACCAGCTAGTATTGCACGAGGACTCGAGACACATCACAACGTTTGCTACCCACATCGGACTTACCGATACATGCGTTTGAACTTTGGAATTGGTGCTGCTGCAGAGCTGTTCCAGAACACAGTCCGACAAGTGCTCGCTGGAATCCCAGGAGTCATTAACATCAGCGACGACATCTTAGTATATGGCAAAACAGACCAAGAACATAATGACTCGCTGGAAGCTGTGCTACAACTCCTCGGGGATTGTGGACTCACACTCAACCCGAAGAAGTGCTCTTTCTCCCAATGGGAATTGACATTCTTTGGGCAAATCTTCTCAGCGAAAGGAATGCAACCTGACCCGGCAAAAGTCCAAGCGTTTCTTGACATGGCCCCACCAAACAGTCCAGCAGAAGTGAGGAGACTTCTGGGCATGATCACCTACTCGGGAAGGTTCATATCCCCAACCTGGCAAACCTCACCGCACCTCTTCGCAACCTCACAAGGAAAGACGTTGACTGGCAGTGGACCATGGAGCATCAGGCAGCGTGGCAGCCATAAGACTCGACATACTGCCAGCTGCGACAAGCCATTCAAGCCATTCAAGCCAAGGGTACAGAGAGACATCTCCTGTGGAGTGCTACCACACTCAAACCCTACAGACACCTTGAGATGGAGCTTGCCGTGACGCCTGAAGGCATCATTCTTCGAGGCACAAGGATCGTGCTGCCAGCAGGTATTCAGCAACGTGCTGTTCAGCTTGCGCACAAAGGCCACATGGGCATCGTAAAGACCAAGCAACTCCTCTGCACCTCGGTGTGGTTTCCCAGGATGGATATATTGGTCGAACAAGCTGTGCAAAACTGTATTCCATGCCAGGCATCTACACCCACATCACATCATGATCCTGCGGAGCCAACGCCTCTCCCTCATGGGCCATGGGAAAACCTGTGTATCGACTTCGCAGGACTGTTTCAGAATGGAAAGTACCTGCATGCTCATTCTTATCGACGAGTACTCGCGCTTCCCATTGGTGGGACAAGTAGCCTCGACAAACGCGACCTCAACTCTGCAATTCCTGAGACGAACATTCGCTGAAATGGGCATCCCTAAACAAGTCAAGAGCGACAATGGGCCACCTTTCAACTCAAGCGAGTTCAAGGAGTTTGCAGCTGAACTGGGATTTACACATTACAGGGTGATACCACTCTGGCCCGAAGCCATTGGTGAGGCAGAGCACTTTGTTTAAACCTTAACCAAGGCCATCAAGGCTCTTGTCCAGGGAAGAGATGGGACGCAGGGCATGGACGACTTCTTGATGTGCTACACGAGCAACCCCAAATGACACAACTAAGAGATCTCTGTATGAACTTCTCTTTGGCAGACAGATGCAGACAATACTACCACGACCCCCAGACAACGGAGTGAATGAGGACTTCAATGTGCGTCAAGATGACGAAGCCGCAAAAAGGAAATCTAAGCACTACACTGACGAGCGACGACACACTCGACAACACTCATTGAAACAAGGGGATACAGTATTGTGCAAACAAAAGAAGCAGCACAAGCTAACGCCATACTTCGACCCAGACCCCTACATGGTGACAAAGGTTCAAGGATCGAAGATCACGGCAAGACGACGAGAAAGAGACATAACTCGAAATACAAGTTTCTTTAAGAAGATAAACGCTGACCTAAAGTGGCACGAGAAAGAGGACGATGAAGATGACGATCTCCATCCTCCAGCTGAAGACGCCACAGAGCAAGCCGGACAAAACATCGGAACGGCTGGACAAGACGACTGTCAGCAGACAGCCTGTCGATACCCTGCCAGAGCTTCAAGAGGGCTCAAGCCCCCACACTACCGGAACTGGCAGTGAACTGTTGAAAGTGTTTGAACATCATTTGTATTTCATTTTTACCTTCTTTTTTTTACACCACACTTTTTGCTTCAGTCATTAAGGTAGGGGGGAATGTTGTATATCGATTTCAGTTTCAATATTTTAGCAAGCCATTCTGTAAGCCAAAGAATGGCAAGCGAATCCAAGAGGAATTCATTTCGGCACCACGAATAAAAACGGTCATCAGTTTACATAACCGGCTTCCTCTTTCTGGTTCAAACCACCAGACACAACAGGAACCTTTGGACTAAGTTCAACAAGTGTGCCCCTTATGCAACACGCAGGGACATGTGTGGATAAACATTCCTATAGCACATGCGCTGCCTATAGGCACGGAGTACAGCTCCGAAAAGGAAATACAGGAAAGAACTGCAGTGGATCAGTTAGAACAAAGGAGCTGTCTCGCCAAATGACCCAACATCTGGAATGGTGGTTGATCATGAATTAACCAGAGGAACAAACGGATTCCGGTCAACTCCTCTCAGATAGACTTTTCTATTTATAATTTCACAGAGGAGGGCACGAATCCCCTCTTACGGTTCCGCCACAAGGCGCCCGTACGCGTGACGCCACAGACGAAAACGGAAAACATTGAAAAGGGATAAAAATACGACATCTGCCAAGGCCCAATCCGGCGAAACGCATACCCAAAAGGAGAGCTCCATGAACTAAAACGAAGAAGCTGCCGGGGCCCAGTCCGGCGCCCTAACTCCAAGACAAAGAGGACAATGCAGCGCCGGCTGCCAAGCCTAACAGGCGTAAACTGCAACAAATTCCAAATTCAAAGAGAAAAAAAACAAAACCAAACTCGTTTGTCAAAACTGTAGTAATTTGAAAAAGAAAAAAACCCACCAAATAAAGTAGAGGAGGAGCAGAGCCCACGTGGGCCTGCGAAAGTAAAGAGGTTCTCACATGCCGACAAGGCAATGGCCAGCAGATCCGAGGGCAGGAACAAGCCACGGAAGGAAGGCACGTCCAATACAAGTGACACTCCGAGCCGCACTGATTCACTAACGGTCTATCAGCATGGGGCTGCGCACCCTGGGCCGGTTTGCTCATCTTGCGGCTGCGGTCGCGGCTGCGGCCAGGAGGGATTTTTATGTCACGTGACCAGCTCCATGGGGACAAAGAAGTACCTAGCGTCCCTGCCTTATGGCGGAGTGATCAGCATCGCTTCAAGCACAAAAGCCTAATTTCGCTCGCAGAAACTGATTGCAGGGACTTTCATCTGGAATCTAATTGACCGCCCCTTTATACTGTAGGAGCGGCAGGTAAAGTTACGGCCAGGGAGGGTAAATAGGAGCCAAAATAAAGAAGAAACCACAGGAGATAAAAGCGGTAGCAGTATATTTATCTACCTTCGCCGGCGCCAGTGCCTCGCCCCTGCTGCTATGGTCGAGAGGTTTAAGCGCCGGTACTTGTCGTCACGGCGTGAAAGTTCCGGGTTCAAATCGCGCTAGGGACTTCTTTTTTTTTTTCTTTTTTTTTTTTGTATTTTGTGAGCGTCTTACTTTTTAGCTGTGATCCTTTTTAGGATATCATCCACTTGCACTACTGCGCCTTACACGGTATTTTCTGTTAGTCCCACCTGTTCAATCGAAACATCGGGAAGAAAAAAAAAAGATGAACGCAAGTTAACGCGCTAATACAATCATTTCATTCCATTTGTTGATCCAAAGTCATTTTAGGAGTTTGCATTAGAGTGAGGGACCTAAAATGACTTTGGATCATAAATGGAATTAATTATAATGAATTCCATTTGTTGTTCCAAAGTCATTTTAGGTGTTTGCATTAGAGAGAGGGTTTGCGATGTCGACGCCTGATTCATTTTTGCATTCAGTCGTGATCGTCCGCTAATCAAACTAAAATTCAACAAGTAATGTGGTAATATTACAAAACGATTGCCACAACAAAATGTAAAGAGTATAAATATACTTTTTATCACATTCCATGCAAGTAAAAGTATGATCGCTTTTATTTCGGTTTTACTACTTTCTCAGACGTTTGACTTGCTGCCTTGCCTGTAGGATTTCGCTCAATCAGTGTAGCCACAGTTGCTAGTCTTTTTTTTTTTCTTTTTGCTTGTTTTTTTTTTTAATTGTCACAACTGCAGTTTTTATTAGTCCTAAATAGGCGTCTCTTGTTATTGAAAGGAATCGTAGCAAGAGCGTTGTATATTTAAAAACACATAAAACTAGTTGCCGGGGAAAGGATGCTTGTTTCGGCTCGGTTAGTGTGAAGCCATAGCGATGCTGTTATCTTGGTTTCCTTTTAATGAACATTATGAAATGATTTTATTAGCACGTTAACTTGTGTTGATCCTTTTTTTTTTTTCTTCCCGGTGTTTCGATTGAACAGGTGGGACTAACAGTAAAAACCGTGTGAGGCGGAGTAGTGCAAGTGGATGATTTCCTAAAAAGGATCACAGTTAAAAAGTAAGACACGCGCAAAATACCAACAAAAAAGAAAAAAAAAAAAAAAGAAGTCCCTAGCGCGATTTGAACCCGGAACTTTCACGCCGCGACGACAAGTACCGGCGGTTTAACCTCTCGACCATAGCAGAACGCGCAAGGCGCCGGCGGAGGTAGATAAATATGCTGCTACCGCTTTTATCTCGTGTGGTTTTTTCTTTATTTTGGCTCCTATTTACCCTCCCTGACTGTAACTTTACCTGCCGCTCCTACAGTATAACGGGGCGGTCAACTGGACTCCAGTTGAAAGTCCCTGCAATCAGTTCCTGCGAGCGACATTAGGCTTTTGTGCTTGAAGCGATGCGGATCTCTCCGCCATTAGGCAGGGACGCTAGGTACTTCTTTGTCCCCATGGAGCTGGTCACGTGTTGTAAAAATCCCTCTTGGCCGCGGCCGCAGCCGCAAGATGAGCAAACCGGCCCTGGGGGTGGCCAGCCTGAAAGCACGGGCGCCAGTGGTAGTTGGTGGTGCGATCTATGTAGTGTAGAGCAATTGTACTAGTGGTGATTGGTGATGCCATCTAGGTGGTGCAGAACTTTAACAAAAAAAAACTGAAACACTACCACCTTCCTTTCCTTAAAAAAAATAAACCTATACTCTTTCCCTCCTTAAAGGGGCCCTGCAACAACTTTTTGACTGGTTTTTAATTTGCACCGAACCTGAGTGCACTGAACGTAGTAACTTAAAACGTTTCTTTTCTCAAATTTCGCTTTATTTTAGAAGTTATAGGCAAATTAGAATTACAAAAACCATAAAAAAATAACCTCCTTCATGATGTCGTAGGTCCTGGCTTGAGTGGCCGTGAACTAGAGGAGGGGTAGTGAGCTCATGGAGCGCTCACGGTTGCCGCACTCCGTGTCGACGGCTCGAGAGGGCGCCACTAAAGCAAGTGTTGGATAGGCTGTATGAAGCGGGCGGCCAGGGCGGCTCGCACTGCATTTGCTGCGCGATTAAAGATTAATTCGGCATAGCACTTCATTGGCCACAAACGACAGCAAACACAGAATAAAGATCAGTTCAAAACAGGTGCCATTTTGCGCTGCTATACCGCCAAATGGACAAATCGCCAGCCAAGCCCGCACCGAAAGCCTTCGGAATGCTCGGAACCGGTCGGATCCTCGAGCCGGTATACAACCGCAGCGCCGCCCTAACATCCAGGACATTTCTACGCTGGCCGTTCGTCGGAGCCTCATCCCACTAGCCCAGGGACGGCCAAGCTGACCCTGCCTAAGAGCTGCCAACAACACCACAAAACTTCCAAGAGCCACAGGGGAAGGGGGGTGCAAACTTTTGTCCAGAACAATAAATGAAACTCAAACTTCTTTCAATCTATCCGAGTCAAAAGCAGTTCATTTGTACGTAAGGTAGCACAAACCGACCAAATTGCAACCTGCCTTTCGATTTAAAACGCGTTCCATTTCACTTTTTGGGGAAGTTTTCGTGTGACCGGGAGGGTGGCCGTGGGGGGGGGGGGGGGGGGGAGCGCAGAGGAGGGAATTGCGAGCCGCACTTTAACACGCGAGGAGCCGCACCTTGGCCACCCATGCACTAGCCCTTTCTAGTATGCGCCGTTTTTTCTGCTGCTTGGTGGCGGGTTTGTCGACGGGTCTTTTCTTTTTTCCGTACTTTATGAACTGCCTTTGTTCCTTTTCTGATCTAAAATACTGAACAAAAACTACTGTAATACATAATAGAAACGGTTCACGGCACTTATTTTTTGTATCTCAAAAGAAAAAGCTTTTAGCGGGTCTGACCAGTAGTAAGCCCAGGACCAAAGACGTCACATTTTGCACGCTTTCGGTACTGTGGGTCGCCCTCGTCGGTGGAAGGAGGTTTCCGCGTCGTCCGGTTAAAATATTACTCACTGATATTTAGTTACTCTCTCCGTGCCCGCTGGCTTGCCCGAACCCCAAGAGACGTGGAAACCGCAAAAAAGGTAGACGCTTAAATGTGATTGCAGGGCCCCTTTAAAAAGAAAAATTCTAACCTTAGAACAAAATAGAAAATGCAAAAATTAATACAGACTACAACACTCGTGACAATATCTCCTAAGTAACAATAAATGCAGTTGTAATACACATACCACCTCGTAAGCCCAAAGCCTTAGGGGCAGAAGAAAACAAACGTTGAGAAAAAAAAAAAAAAGACACATTGGGCAAAACACTGTGCGAGTCGCCAGTTACACAACTTTCACTGCCCCATGTTTTGAGAAAAAGAAACCAAACACTTCAAAGTATGATATGGGGAGAATAAAAAAACAGTCCATTGGCATGCGGAAGCACTGAAAAAAACAAACAAGGCATGTCATCTTGAATTGTCTTTGCAGTTACCACCAAAAAAAAACGACGGTTCTGGGTAGAGGAGTCCAGTAGTTCATGTCACATCAAAATTCTATGTCCTGTATATCACCAACACTTCAGCTGTAGTACTATAAATTTACGAAATAGTCTTTAAGATCCGGCAGCCACCGAGACCGCTGCGGACGACCCTCTTGCCGCCGAGTAGAGGTGTCTGGACTCTGGGTCTCTGGGGACTCCGGTCCGGGGGTAGACACGCTGTGTGATGACACTTCCACAGGTAACAGGACTGGCACTGTCAAAGGAGGTGCTGGACGTTGAACCTTCAGTCGCCGTGTCACTGTAGCTGGATGACCAGCTGCCATCCGCTGATGTCCCAGGGGACAGCTTCTGCTCGGGTGCCAGAGCACACCTGCTCGAGCACAGGTTCCTCTATCTCAGGAGGACCCTTAGGGAAGGGACCACCAGCTGCAGGAGGAACCTCAAGGAGAGGAACTGAGGCCATAGGCTGCACGCTGACCCTCGGGATTCGGATGCGTGGTGTCCGGGCTGGCAGGACCATAAACAGATGGCTCCGGAACAGAGCCGGCGGGACTGCAGGTGGGGCAGCATCTGCAGTGGAAGGAGGGGGCACCAGGGGATCCTCCCGGAACCGGGATGCTCTGGTCAATGATGGTTGAAGTGTTGTGTGGGTTAACTTTGAGGCATGCCGGGTGGATCCGTCGTCCAGTCGGTACGTGGCTGGACCCAACGTCCCTCTATACTGAAAGGTAGCGAGATCTCCTCCTCCTCGCCATCTTTTTTATCGTGCCCTCCATCCGCCTTTTTTTTTTTTTGTCCAAAATTGTACTGCGCTTAGCCGCGCTAGGCACTGGCCTCTGCTGTCATGTGCGGAGAAAAAAACTAACGTGCAAGCAAGTATAAAGGTTTCTTGATTTGCAAATTATATGCGCGTTCAAGCTACGCCATACTGTAGTGTATTTTAAGTGTTGTTTAGAACATATCAGCAGACGGGGACGCGTTGAAGTTATGCACGCACTATGTGCGCCGGAGGTGCTGCCAAATGCCATTGCGTTTGTCCCGATTCTTTGGTAACACAATCATCGATAATACTCCTATCTTCTGAAGACAAAATATTTTTATTTTGGTCATGACTTTGTTAGGCCGCAATGTTCCCAACGATGAAATAATTTAATCTTTGGCGTGTGTCCATCAACGCTTCTCTTGAGTGTTTTTTTTTTCTTTGCTCGGGCCTTGCTGGCTGAGGACAGACCTAATTTTATGTATCCCCAAAATAAGAAAATGTTCACTTGTGTGAAAACTAGCGCAGTACTACCGTATTTACACGATTGTAGGTCGATGTAAGTCGACCCCCTCACATTGCACATAAACAAAAAAAAAAAAATTTTTTTTTTATATGCGCATTTTATTGCAAACACGCGTGAACGGCAAATTATCTGTTTCGAAAGCCGTGCCTCCAACACACAATCGATGCCTTCTGGCGTGCTTTGGCTGCGCATGCACGTGCGAGGTGCGTAGGAACTAGGAAGTTCACGCTGGAGGCGGGACAACTGAAGCTGCTCACTGTCGTTCTCACTCCATCCGCGACTAGACTACGACTCGTCCGCACAGGTGATGTCAGTCCCGTCGTCATCACTACTGTACTCCGCGACAAACTTTTCTTGGCAATGCAGCGGAAAGTACAGGCCTGCGTCCCCTCTCCAATTTTGAGTTTGCGCGGGCTCTCCTCCTCTCCCCGGAAATGGGGAGAGAAGGAGAGCCTGCGTACACTCAAAATGGGAGAGAGAACGCGGGCCTGTACCTTCCACTGCATTGCCAAGAAAAGTTATCGCGGAGTATAGTGATGGGACGAATCTTTATCTGAATCGAAATTCGGAGCCGAATCTGAAGATTCGGAAAGATTCAGAAAAGTAGCCGAATCTCGAGCGATTCAGAAAAGTTCGGAAAGATTTGGAGCGTTGTCATGGCTGCCAAATCACGTTGATGTGTTTTTCAACTTTTCGTGATATTAAATTCACCAAATTCTATAAAGTGCACAAAACAATATTGTAATATAATATCACAGTAATAAATAGAATGTTCCGCTTTGTTTATATTATTTCGGATGTTTATCGAGAACGGTAGCCAGACATCGCAGAAAAGTTGGTTTCGGTTCCGGATTACGACCCAAATAGGCATGCTTGGTGCACGTGGAAATACAAGCGCATGTTTTCATCGCCGCAAGAGATTGATGCCGTACGTGCTGTTCGGTACAGACACATTTCGTGCCCATATATATATTTACTGTCATAGTAGCACACACCACACAAGTGATTTGATTTGATTATCTCCAACGATTTGATTTGATTATCTCCGAGTGTCCACTGAGGTATTGCTATCGGAACACGGGAAACAATCTGAAACTCCTGGTGAATGATATCCGGTTTAGTTAGTGTTTGTTTCTGAACAACGAAGTTGCGTTGGACACCCCCGTGTTTTGTTACATTTTCATGAAATAAAGTTCACGTATACAAAACTTGCTGCCAAGGACGGAGAAACGACAATGCGACGTTTTTTTTTTTTTTTTTTTTTTTTTTTTACAGGTGTTGGTATGCGGTCGAAGTTGTGACGAGCAACATTCATCTCGCTCTCGCACCTTACGGGTACGGGCATACGCAGCTCTAGAGAAGGAGACGAATCATTTCCTTGCCTGGATATATATTTATTGTGCGTTGCGCCACATTACGTGTAATACACAGCGTTTCGCTACATTTTACCGATCACCGCGAAACCGCAAAGCAAGACCGCGCATTGGTTAGGCCTACGTCAACCACACCGATCAGCTCAGCTGGACCTAAGCACGTGCCAGGGTTTAGAACGACAGTGCAGTACATACCATATGTTGAAATAAACAAGACGTAATTTGGTTATATGCAGTAACAGTACCTAAGAAAAGCACAACTGACCGCATTCGTGAGGTTTACGACAAGGTTCACGCTGCCGCCTGCAACCAGCGACGAATCTCCGAATCTGCCGAATATTCGTCGCGGGAAGTTCGGAAATTTCCGAATCTGTCTGTGACAAGTAGGTAGCGCCCCCCTCCGGTTCGCCCGTCTGTGGCCGCCAGGCTCGGCGGGCAACATAGGTCACCGCGCCCAATGAACGCCGTTGAGCGTACGCCGCTCCGGTCAGTCATCGTCCACCCTCACAACCAGGCTGCGTGTCGTCTCTTCTCGGCGGGTGCTTCGGGCCCCTTCGTCCACGTTCTAGAAGGATTGTGACACTGTCCGAATCCAAACCTCTGGTGATTCGTCCCATCACTAATCACTACTACGTTCTCGAAGCACGTCGTCGGCGTCGTCCAATGAAATCTCGCACTTCGCAAATGACAGGATCAACCGCATCTTCCGCGCTTGCTCAGCGATCGCGTCGGACGTCACGGGTAGGGACCGATTGTGCGCGTTAGCGGCGTACGTTGCAAGCCTGACTTCCAACTCCAGAAGGCATCCCCACCTATCCAGAATGTGACCTGCGGAAGCTTCTTCATTTGCCGTCACACTTTAAGATTCCACGCCACCGCAGACTCCACTGGAGCATCACCCACTCTGACAGGTCGAACTTGCGTCCAACAGCGCAGTTGTTGGTTGCTTCCGAGGGAAGAATGGCCATAAACGAGCACCGAAAACCTAAACTGCCCGGATCATGCGTTTCAATACAAATGAACATAGCGCACCAGCATGATCTCGTACTCGATCAAACGATGTGCGACCGTGAATTGTGCGAAAAACTGCGAAGCCACGGCGCTGCGGGGCGAGCCGTGAGGCTGTTCCAGCTACCTCCGGAGTGGCTCTTACGAGAAATGCCGTCACCCCCCGGGAGTCGGGCGCTCCGTGCTCTGTTCACCGCATTCGGATTAATTTGCGAATCGCTACCAATAATACTCGTTTGTGCAAATAAAAAATATTTAATTTGTAAAATGAGCGCACAAAACATTGTAATGCTAGGGGTACAGCCGGCTGAACTCGAAACAAGCCGAGGTGTCCATGATATCGCGATTGTTTCGTTTTTGCCGGCAATGGAATGCTTTGGTTCGATTTTAAGTTGACCCCCCCACTTAAGATTTTCAAAAATTGAAAAAAGGGTCGACCTACATTCGTGTAAATACGGTAACCTCATACAATGCGAGTGATCACCAACCATACTCGCGTCATTTCCAGTGGTATACACAAATATCTGCATCAGGATTTTCTTTCGGTTTTATTACATGGACATTACTAGATAGGTATCCCTGCAAGGTAGCTCGAAAATCCTGTAATTATTTTGGCATTTCCCTGCTGTTATTTTAAATAAAATAATGTAGCAGCCATGATGAAACACTGTTTGGAAGAAACATTCTAAAAGCCCTCACTGAATCTAGTTTCAATTAATAGGCCACTCTAACAAGCGAGTGCAAACTAGCCAGAATTCATTTGCAGAAACAATTTGCTCAGTGGAAAATCAATGAGGAATCTATATGAATTCCAACGTAGAAAGAAAACTTGCCAAGAGTTTCAAGGCAAGAGTGCTCTATGAAATTAAAGTTTATCGGTTTCAAATGAAGCGAGGGGAGACATAAAGACAAGAAAACAATTTTTCTTTTTCTTTCAAGAGGTGGTGAGAAAGATAATTTCCAATGAAGAGCTAGTGCAATACACAGATATACAATAATACCATAAAATACCGAGGAAGCGCCCATACCCGTACAAGCGCCTACTATTAACATTGGGAGTGTCTACATCCACGTGCGGGGATGTAGCCACGTCGGGAGGAGATAAGGCTCCATCCACGCAATACGTCACTTCCGGCGCACTTTGATCAACTTCCGGTCTAGCCTCCCATTGTTTTTCCATCTGTGCGGCGGCCATTGCACCTTGCGTTCCTGCCGTGCGCGGACTACTGTCTACTGTGCCATGCCTGGTCTTTCGCAAGCGGGTTTGACTTTCTCTGAAGCGTTTTTTTTTTCCTGTTTTTCTTGGACAAGGAGTTTGGTTGTTTGAGTGTTAGCACGGTCGCGCTTCTGATCTGCCTCAAGTTTGGTTGCCGGGGATTCGACGGTGAAATACTTGTCCTAGTATTTTCCATCGAATAACCAGGTGGCTATCGAAGTGCGGGTGTTTAGTGGCATTAGGATCGAGGCTTTGTTTTCCAAGGTGTCTGATGCCCTGCTCGATTTCGGCACAAACAACACCAGCGTTTGTGCCAGCGCGTACGTTGACAAGTATCGTCGACTGGCCCCTCAGATCTTGGAACGCAATCGACGATGCAGATCACCTTTTCTTCTGTCCTTCCGAGGCGGGAGAACAGGTTCTCTTCGATGGAGTGTCAGGGTAGTCAGAGTGCCGAGATCCAGGCGTTGAATGATCAGCACAGAGACGTAAACTGGCTCCTGCAGAAGTTCTGCCGCAAGAAGGGCTTCGTGTTCATCGGTGATCTCGTGGACGAATGGCATCTGTGCATCGGCTACTGTTTTATTTGTCATGGAATAAACTGTTTCTGGAATCTTTTACCCAGTTTTCTCGATTGAATGCTCTCGGTATGTTTGTTATAATTTGGGACTAATGCATGCTTTCCCTTTTCTCATAATCTTTGTGTGATTGCGAGCGTGCACGCAGGTCAAGAACGT